GAGAGGGAGAGGCACTTGCACTTCCTCTCTCTCTCTCTTTCTCTCTCTTTTTCTCTTTCCCCTCTCCCTCTCTTTCCTCTCCCTCCCTCCCCCTTTCTCCAGGTGAGGAGAGAGAGAGAGGGAGAGAGAGAGAGAGGCACTTGCACTTCCTCTCTCTCTTTCTCTTTTTCTTCTTCCCCTCTCCCTCTTTCCTCTCCCTCCCTCCCCCCTTCTTTCTCCAGGTGAGGAGAGAGAGAGAGAGGGAGAGAGAGAGAGGCATTTGCGCTTCCTCTCTTTCCTCTCTCTTTCTCTCTCTCTTTTTCTCTTTCCTCTCTCCCTCTCTCTTTCCTCTCCCTTCCTCCCCTTCTTTCTCCAGGCAAGAAGAGAGAAAGATAGAGGGAGAGAGAGGCACTTGTGCTTCCTCTCTCTCTCTCTCTCTTTCCTCTCTCTTTTTCTCTCTCTCTCTTTCTCTCCCTCTCTCTTTCCTCTCCCTCCCTCCCTCCCCCCTTCTTTCTCCAGGTGAGGAGAGAGAGAGGGAGAGAGAGGCACTTGCGCTTCCTCTCTCTCTCTTTCCTTTCTCTTTCTCTCTCTCTTTTTCTCTTTCCCCTCTTCCTCTCTCTTTCCTCTCCCTCCCTTTCTCCCCCCCATCTTCTTCTCACCTCACATTCTTCACTGACAAAGCAGCCGGGACTCCGGCGCGCCTTCCCAGCCAGCTGGGCCAATGGTCCTGCGGCTGGAGATCGCAGGGGCTGCTCTCTCTCAGGGCCGTGGCTTGCGGGAAGGCTGGCCTGCTCAGCAGAGGCTCTGGCTGGCTGCTCCCAGCGGGGATTCCAGGCTTCCTCCTGCGGTTCCCCGACCACGTGTACCTCGGATGGGGCCAGCCAGAGAAAGGGACTTCCTGGCTGTGCTTCTCCCAGAGGGCGGGGCGCCTGGGCACAGGGCCAATGAGGAGCCCTGCGAGGGGGCAAATCCGCATGAGAGAGAAAGAGAGAGAGAAGCACAAGTGCCTCTCTCTGTCTCTCTCTACAAATGGCGGAGGACGCTCGGAGCTGCAGGGGAAGGCTCAAAAGTGTCCCCAAAACATCTTGCTCCATCGCCCCCCTATCGCCCCCTTTTCATTCCATCGCCCCCACGCCGCCCCTTTTCATTCCATCGCCCCCCTGAAAAATGAAATCGCCCCCTGGGGGGCGGTACCGCCCAGGTTAAGAACCACTGTTCTAGATAACCTGATAGAATATTTAATTTGAGAAATGCATTAGCTCAATTTTAGCATAATTATAACTGGAATGCTTAGTATGGGACCATTTCCGCTACATCTTGCATTCTACAACCTTACTCAAATGAATCTATTTGACACAATTTTGCCTTCCATGAATGTCATTCAATGATACTGTGCAGTATTTGAAAGGTCAGTTCACGGACTGTAAACATGTGATCATGTCATTTCCCCCCCCCTTCTGTTCAATAGTGCCTATTTCTTGGACACTGGCAGGACAAGTCCCTGCAGTTGTTTTGCAAGGCTTTCCATAAGTGATTTGATATTTCCTTCTTCCTAGGGCTCAGAGAAAGTTCTTGCCCGAGGTCTCCCTATTGGCTTTGTGTTTAAGGCAGGACTAGAACTCATGGCCCTCAGGTTTCTAGCCTGATTCCCTAAATCAGAGGTCCCCAACCTTTTTGGCACCAGGGACCGGTTTTATGGAAGACAATTTTTCCACTGACAGGAGTTGGGGGTGGGGAGGTTTCAGGATGATTCATTATATTTATTCTAAATTTTCTAAATAAACAAACAAATAAACAATGCACTTTATTTCTATTATTATTACATTGTATTAGATTAGACCAGTGACTTTCTGCTTCTAAGAAAGTGGGAAGGAAAAGAGACAATCCTAAACTCAGCCTTCCAGCAAAACAAACCAAAGACCCAGCACATTGAGGAAGTGCTGAGAAAACTATTACACACAAAAAAGGGGGGGAATACTGCGCAAGCCCAGCAGCCTTGGAAAAGGTGCAGATGAGTGAGGGATTCCTTTGGAGACACAGTGCTTAAGGGGAAATGTAGCCTCTCCCCTCCCCCATTGCAAGCCGGGTAGGAGCGCTTGGCTTGCAAACTTGAGAGCTGCATGAAGAAAGGAGCATGTGCGCACACACACACACCAAATTAAACCATGAAAAGCAGGCAGGAAATTGCCAAAACATGAGGCACCTGGAGCACCATCAAAACAAAAGCAAAAACCTCAGCGGTCTTAGAAAAGGTACAAATGAGAGATTCCCTTGAAGAAGTAGTGCTTAAAGTGAAAAGTAGCTTCTCCTTGCCCCTATTTGCACCCTGAGAAAGCACCCTCACAAACGCATACCTGGGAAGGGATCCCCCTCCAACAAAGTTTTGGGTAAGCCCCCGTTGCAAGCTGGGCTGGCGCCTGCTTGCCTTGCAATCTTGCGCGAAGGGAGCACGAGCCCAGCTGGGGTGCCGGAAGGGGGAGAACAGGAAAGTGAGGAAGAAGAGGAGGAGGAAGAAAAAGTAGCAGGAGGGAGAGGAAGCAGCAGCAGGAGGAGGCAGAAGAAGAGAGAGCACAAGAAGCAGGAGGAAGAGGAAGAATGACGCTGAGCTCAGATGTTGCAAGCCAGTTGCAAGCGCAGCCGCTGGAGAACCTTTGCACTGAGCAAGCCAGCTTCTGCCCTGCCATTCTCCCACCCTTGCCCAGACCCCTGCAGACTTGCCGCATGCCTCCAGCTGTGCGGACTGGTTCCTAACTGGCCTCGGACTGGGACCGATCCGTGGACTTGGGATTGGGTAACCCTACCCTAAATACTACACCACACTGACTGTCATCCTGTGGGTAGGAACCTGGTAATGGATGTATTAAGTATTTGGGATGAAACGATTCCTCAACAATTTCACCCTGTGTGTCTGTCCCACCAAATCAACCCAAAGCTTTCAGATAGCAATATGTGGGGGACTATTCCAATGCTAAAGTCTAGCATAGGTATGTGAATTCTATACACAAGGAACCAGCCAAAATATAGATCAACATGATTTGAACAAAGGTAATCAAACTCCATTATCCCTGTATCCTCCTCCCCTCTTGCTTAATCTAGGCACACATATTTGTGTACTGCTTATGTAAAAAAATTAACAAAAAATATAAATAGGTGAAGGATAATATTTTGGTAACCCAGACAGACTGTGTTTAATTACTATCTTATCCTTAAATATCTGGCTGTTCTCCTAGGCCTTGAGTAGAGTGGATGGAACCTTTTGTTAGATACATTTGTCACATGCTGCATATGTTTCGATGTTAGTTCTCTGATTTGTTCATTTTTCTTGCTGCACTTTTTATTCATCTTATTGTATGCACATGCATTTTTTATATTGCTCATTGTCTAGGGATGATTTGGAGCTGGGCAGTGCCCAAGTACAATTAAATAAAATTTCTCCCTCAACCAGCCAAAATAAAAGAAAAAATAGGAAGCAATGTTCACTGTAACTATGCTGAGTAAATACTGTAAATAAGATTTTATTTTAAAATGGTAACACTTAACTATATAGATGAGTGTTTACCTATCCAAAGTGTTATGTCAACATGTAAAATCTTAAAAATCTAAATTATTAATATATTATAACTTAACAAACTACATATAATGCAGTTTTAGACCATCTAACTACAAGGATTTTTTAATTCTTATTCACTGCAAAAAGGCTGCAGTATTTATGTTAAATATTAACCAATATGGAATGACATAAGAATCATTTATTTTAATGATGCTTGAAAACTGATTGAATTTCATTTATATTAAAGGCACAGTTTATATGCAAAAATCAATTGCAGTTTTGGGCCTGCTGGCCTGAACTGTAAAGACACCTGAATTTGTATCTTTTCTGACTTGTTTTTTACAGGTGAAAAACTATGACAATCACTCTGAATAGTCATTTACCTCTTTCCGTTTCTGAAGAAGCAGCTCCAGTCTTTCATTAGCTCTTTTACCAATCATTTTGTTTCTTTCAGCTTCATACTGTCTTTGTGTATTATCCTGATGAATACTCAGGTTTAAGGCAACATTCACAAGAGCAGTCATAAGCTTCATAGCTAGGAAAAATACAAACAGAAATCAATTTTTCTTTTTCAGGCCCAAGTGCATTTTTGAAACAATTATTTGCTTAATACTAACTAGAATCCGAAGATTCTGATCTATTTGTGTTGAGGTAAAATATGGATTGCTACTTTCAAAATAACAATCAGCCAGAATCTGTAATTATGCCTCACTCATAAAAGTATATCAATTAACTTAGAATCAAGAGAAAACCTCTTGGCAAATCCTATGTATAATATTAAAAGCATCGCAGTTTTCCACAGACCCATTATGGAAATCAGAGATGGCTTATTATTATCTGTGAATTAGTTCAATATGTAATCCTGAAAGTTTATATCCAATGGTTCTGATGGCAAAAAAACTCACAGAATATTCTGATACCATTAAATGTAAGTCATTAATAACAAATAATAAAGATATCAGTAGTGTTCAGGATTCATTAGAATCCATGAAGGGCTTCTCTCTTCTATCTGCCTAACTAAATATGGCTATTGTTATTTTACATTCTGATCATCAACAATTCTTTTCCAGAATATATCTAACAATTAATTTAATTAGGAAAATTTGTTCCTTGCAGAGCAGTTACTTCCTTGCAAAATAAAGGACAAGTTGACTTCATCCAAACTTGTTTAATTTAAAATTAAATTTACATTACTTTACATTTTACATTAATGTAATGAGATCCATTCCAATTTACATTATTTGCGGAGTGTTGTCATTTGTAGTAATTTATGTAATTGCATTACACAAACAATATATTTATGTTCAATAGACATTAAGAAGTAACAAAGTATGACTGTATATTAAAAAGTTTCTTCCTAAGTTTATTTGTACAATTTCATATCAAAAAATGCAATGCAGGACATATTTATAAAGAGAGGTATTAAGTTTATGGCTTTTGTAATTATTTTGTAGGAAAATGGATTAAAAATAAATTATATGCAAAATGTTTTTTATCACACCTTGTTTTTCCCAAAACTAGCTGATCCAAGCATTTGTGCAAGTGTACTGTTTCAAACCAGAACAATTATACATTCCTTCTGTACAATTCACATATGAAAACATATATTCATATCTTCTGAATAAATTATTCCAAATATAATAAAAGATCAATAACAACACACAGATTTATCACAATGTAACCATTATTTTGTATGTTTTGTCTTTAAAATATACTTACCAGCAAGTGTACTGGTATGTCTGAAAGCTCGAACCTGCGAATCTGACAAACCAGTCAGCAATGAGATCACTGTATCCATCATATATTCATCATAGATGATGCTATATTGACATTGTCGTATTAGTACTCCTATGAATTCACAAAAATTTGATCGAAACTTTTTCCACTGTGGTCCAGGCATTGTAAGTGGGTAATCACCACTGTCCTGTGGGAAGACCAAGCACATACTATCTTTAAAAAAACATTCTTGAGCTTCTGCCAGCTTCTCTTCTAATTAAAATATGAAGTTTTAGTGCAGCTTAAATTCTATCTGAATGACTAAAAACATGGTAATTTCAAATAAAGCTACATTGTCCTGATAATCAGGAAAATAAAAGTGATGAACATGAGGCTTATTTTTTTAAACACACAAAATGATGTACAAAATATTATATATGAAATAGCTTCCTGGTGGTCTATGTCTAGAACATAACATCCTTCTCTGGGTGTGAAATTTGTATCTGAGATAGAAGTATTCGAATATGGGAAAAACAGGAAATGGCAATGCAATCAACAACAGCAAAGGGAACAGAGAAAGGAAGACAGTGGAAAGGTCTGGGAAGGACAAGTGACCTAACTAGATAGGTTATGTTTGACTTCAAGGGTGGAGTTGTCAAAGGGTTAAGAGAACATTGATGTCACACCATCCCCACCCTTGAATTCGAGTGTAGCATATCCAACCAGTCTATCTGCCCTTTCCTCTGATGTTCCCAGTACTGCTGGAATATTCTGCTCTTGAATTGAAGGATAGCGATATCACAAATTCTTTAAAAATATATTAATTCTATAAATAACTCAATTAAGTTAAAGCAGCTAAGAGGAGGTAAAGAAATAAAGACACCGGGAAGACTTGTGGGCATACAGATACACAGGTCAAGGGAAGAAGAAAGGGAGAGACTATCAAATTTATCCTTCATGCTCTGATTTACCTCTGCAAGGGTGTGTGTGTGTGTGCTGGGGTAAGCTGGCTGGCGAAGCTTATAGCGACCCAATTTTGGAGGTTTTGGCATGGCTAAATTGCAATCTAAATTGCAATCTGAATTACAATGTGTTCTCTTCAAGCACAAACAAAAATATTCTACTTTACTGATATCTCTCATATGGAGAGACAAGATAGAAATAATATTTTCAATTCAATTTTACTGCATTACATATATTTTGATTTTTATATCTAACTTAGTTTCACTGTTTATTTTTTTATAATTTCCAAGAACTCAGTAATTTTATCTTTTAAGTGTCAGGTAAAACACTTGACATGCCTCTATAATTTAGTTGGAACATTGCTGCAATATGCTCTATATAGTGGTACCTATTCAGGTCACAGGGCTTCAATTAGCTAGAATGCAATAGCCCAGTTAGTAGCTCACATTTGTTGCTAACAGCATGTTTCACCTGTGCTCCAGACACTGCACTGGTTTCTATCAGCTTCTGAATGCAATTCAAAGCATATACTTTTAAAGCCATACATAGCTCAATAAAAAGGTAATTTTACATAACTGAAATAGATCCAACTGTTTTATGTCCTGGAAAAATATGTGGGCAATCCAAATCACAAGAAAAAAATACAGTAAAGTACAAGAGAAGAAAAACAGTAGGATAATTGGCCACAGAAATGCTTTGAGGTTTACCAGAATCTGGCAGGGAACAATCTATGTTAGGATTTAAAGAGCTGGGTAAAAACAGTGAAATGGTTTGATTTGTTTAGAAGAAGAATGCTGGACCGATATCAGGGCTTAAGGGTCTTCAGAGCTGAGTATTAAAGAAGTGCTTTGGAGCATGCCAAAGCAATTATGTAATAGCTGTCTGTATATCTTTAAATAAAATATGACTTCCTTTGATCATGTGTGAATTGTGGAGAGGAGCTGCATAATCCCAGGAAAAGACATGATGATGATGATGTTATCCACTCAGTCGTGTCCAACTCTTGGCGATTCTATGGGCCAGGTGTCTCCATATTTTCCGATCTTGCACTACTTCTTTGAGTTGTTCTATGCTCTGGCTGGTGTCAGCTTTGATGGTGGGAAAAGACATAGCTATTTTAAATATTTGGAAAGAGGTGCTATGTAAGAACCTTCATGTGCTTTGAAGCACCAATTTGTACTCAAACTGGAAGCAAAATACTGCCTAAACAGATAGGAGAAAATCATAAGAAAATCGAAAATCAGATACAACATTATCAGGATGGCAAGGGTAAGATTCACAGTGTTTCCCAAAGAAAGAGAGAAAATATACCCTACACTTAGAAATATTGTCAAGGGAGAAAAAAGTTTGATGATTAGCTGAATATTCTGAATCATGAAGGAAAAAGAGACAAAATTTTCATGTCTGATTAAATAGTTGACAATGACAAATGAGCAATAGTCAGTGGTGAAGGACAGTAAACAAGGAGAGTGATCTGTGATGTTTCGTTTTGGACATGTAAGCTTCAGACAACTCTGAAATTTTCAAACAAATTTATTAGAGAAGCACTTGAACTTAAGAAACTGCCTGAGTGAGAGGTAGAATTGAATATATCAGCATATAATTTTTTAAAAAATTGTGGTTATGATTAGGTTACCCAGGAATAATCTGTCTGGATGTGTGTGCCCTTCAAATATTTCAGAACTTTGATAATAATATTGAAACAATAATAATAAAATACCTTCATAAATAAAACCAATACTTCATCAACCCAAAGAAAAAATCAACACAGATAAAGGAATAACAGTAGATGACCAGATAAAACAAGCACCAACAGACAGAAGAGAATTATCTTCAGTGGGATATTGAAAGAGGAATGATAACAGATAAACTGCATCCTAATAGTTCCAGTAAGATACCAAATTGGGATCTACTGAAGAGCCTACTATGGGTATAACGCCTACAGTGCTTAACTAGTTTCTTTGCCAAATTTCCGAAGTCCTCTGCAAGCAAGCAAGTCAACTTCCCCATAAGAAAGGACTAGCCTTTTCCTGAAAGATTACTGCTTGAAAATGAGAGAAGTCTATGTCAGAAAAGTAAAAAGGAGATAATAAGAGAGAGAATGGATAGTTGGCCCACCATGTGCCTTTAGCCGCCTTCACCACTGGCATATGTCATCTGATAGATCACTTTTGAAATAAAATCTTTGCTAAAGCAAAACTTGCCCACTTCTATAATAGAACAACAAGGTAGTATTTGATACATTATCCTACAAAATATACACTTTAGTCTCATAGGATATGGATAGTACCTCAATGGGTGGTTTTAAAAACAAATTTTAAAACAGCAGCAGGAGCTTCTTTAAGATAAGACAAGATAAGCAACTTTGATGAGTAGTGGCAGTGGTATAGAAATGTCACAGAGTGCCTTGATCAAAAGAAAATTATAGGGGCCCTCATGCAATCTATGTATGTTTACTGAAAAATAAATAAGCTAACCATACAGAAATTAATGAGACTACACTAAATCTTACATCATTAAAGATATTTTCAAAATATTTGAATTAATTTGTGTTCACAACTTTCAGTTTATTATATAAGAAAATACTGCAAGTATGATACAACAAATACATATTTTATATACCAAATACGTAGCCTACAATTTTAATTACAGAACTCCTTGATATATCCTTTAATTGCTGTCAGGTCTTTATTTCTTCAAATAATGCTTGAATTTCTTTTCCCACTCCTAAATTTTGTTCCACTTTTAATATTCTACAAAAAGTATATGTATTGTGGGATGCAATACAGGATTAGGGTAGAGTGAAACTAGTTTAATTTCAAGCAATTTCCAAAAAAAAAATACTGAAATTTATGTTTAAATACTTCTCACTGAAATCAATCTGACTTCAAAGTTCTGTGTCAGTCAATATATCTGGATAGCAATTGCTCACTTCTCTTTAAGAGTCCAATCCTTTTTCTTTTTTTTTTTTTACCTACAAGGATGTATAATTATGTTTTCATACAGTATACCTCCTTAAATAATTAGATCACACAATAACGTTCACTACATGTCCAATTTTGCTGAAGCTTAAAACATATTTTGTATATGTCCGGTACTATACCTCATCAAATTCTTCAGTCATTTTCCTGATAATTTCTGCATTTTGCATGTTTCTAAACATTTCAATCCGCACAGTTCCTGTAATAAAGTAAGTATAAATATTTTATAATATTTAAAGATATCTTTATTTTGAACACACACAAACATGTTAAAGAACATAATGGCAAATGAATAAACATATAGGATTTTCTTTCTCTATTTACATTTAGCAGCCACTTATAAAATTTGATGTTATTGCTCTGTTTTTCTAGAATAGACTGATAGCTCCTGATCAAGGCAGCTATGGCCAGGAGGCCTTTGTAAATCTATTTTTGTTTACCAGTTGCATTCATTCCTGAACTATACCTTAATAACATCCTGATTGAACTAATGCAACTCATTCTACATTAGACTGCCCTTGAAGACTACCTGCAAACTTTATTTGATCCAGAATGTAGCAATGTGGATATGACAAGAACTGCTTGAGTTAAGTAAAAATACTTTTGTTATAGAGTGCAATAAATTGTACTGTGGAATCATTTGCTTTATTTAGCAAATGCCCATCTTAATCATTTTTGTGGTTAACAAGGAAAAAAATAAAAACATGATAAAAATATAAAAATAACAGTAAAATTATGTTAAGGATAAGTACAAAAAAGGAATTTTGGTGCAATGATGAAATGAAAGAAATTGTGGATGAGAAAAAATGTGTAAAATGCTGATAAAAATGAATGTAATATAATATACTACATAATGGGTAGATTAGATAGCTACACAAATGTAGGAATAAAACTATCCACTGTTTATAAGGAATGTTTATTATGATGTAAGAACTTTCTTATTGAATATTGATAACCCTCGTATGCAGAGGATGCTGTGTTTTTGGCTGAGAATGAATTCTAGGGAATTTTGTGTGCCTCATACAACAATGATATGGATTGAATATATATGCACTGCAAAAAGGAGTGGTTGTTTTCCACTTTATTTTCTCCATCAAACATGATTGCAAAATATGGAAAATTAGAGCAAGTAAACAAATATATCTTGCTAGTACAATGTTTACCAATGATAGGAAAATGAACAAATATTAAGACGTGAAAATACTGGCAGAAAGTTGGTATAAATCTGTTCTATTTATCAAGAGAAGCAAAAATAACTACATGTGATTCCAGCCAATCTGTCATATTGATGTGAAAGACAAGAATGTCAGGAGAAACAAAAATGCAGTGAGAATTAATTATTTAAGAAATATTTAATAACAAAATCAAAGATATAGTTGGGAATAAATGGTACTACAAGTCATCCTCAACTTACAACTATTGTCTAATGACTGTTTGAAGTTACAATGGCACTGGAATGACTTATGAATGTTTTTCACATTTATGATCATTACAGCATCCTCGTGGTCACATGATCCAAATTTGCCCACTTGGCACTTGTTAGGTATTTATGACAGTTGCAGTGTCCTTGAGTCATTTGAATACCTTTTGCGACCTTCTGACAAGCAAAGTCAATGAGAAAGCCAGACACACGTAATAACCATATTACTAATTTAAGAACTGCAGTGATTCACTTAACAATGGTGGCAAGAAAGGTTGTAAAATGGGACAAAACCCACTTAACTCTCTTGCATAGCAGTGGAAATTTTGTAAATAAATGTGGAAAACAAACTAAAGCTTGGGGAAGCCAACGGTTGGAGTAAAGCTTATTATCAACAGGGGGGAAAAAGATGAAAAGTAGTATAGTTTAACTTGTAACAGAAGTAGGATAATCCTGGTAGGATTGAAACAGCTGATAGAAGGAGGCAGTACTAAGTGTCAAAATTCTGTAACAAATTATAAAAAAAAACTTTTGTGAACAAAATTTCTAATTGATGAAAAAACAGTGATGCTAGATCAACCTGATCGTTTTTACGGAATGACCAGTTTAGTTGACCATGAAAATGTAATAGATGTAACATATCCTGATTTCAGTAAAAGTGTTAGACAGTTTTCATGAGATTTCAGTAGGCTGGATCATACTACCATTAGATGGACAGAGTTGGCCGAACAATTACACCACCACCAAATGACTGTCCACCAATGGCTCTTCAGCACTCAATAGAAAACAGAGTATTGCACGGTTTCATTTTAGGCTGCATGCTGTTAAACATATTTTTACATGATCTCGACGAGGGGCAAGAAAATAGGATTATATAATTTGCAGATGATACAGTGGTAGGAGAGTAGCAGACACCCAAAATATCAGATGACACAGCCTCCAGGTACCAGGATAAGACAGCCATGGCATTGCTTAATTTGCCAAGGTAGAGATATACAACTGGATATCATCAGCGTACTTCACCCCAAGGGAACAAAAGAGTTTACCCAATAAGCTCATACAAAGGAAAAGAGAAAGCATCAACTCTTTTTTAGCACCCTACCTAGTACTAGAGGCTGAAGGCGGGACCTCTCCTACCCAATCGTCTCTGACTGGAATCAACCCTGAGGAAAGGAGGTGAACCAGCCGAACACTGTACCACCCGCCTCCAATTCTGAGTTGATCCAAAAGGATACCATGGTCAATAGTATTAAAAGTCACCAAAAGGACAAATTTAGCTTTGTTCAGTATAGTGAGGTCTAGCGAAAGCTTTTTAAGAAGGGGGCAAACCACAATCTCTTTAAAAGGCAAAGGAATAGTCCTATCACTCAAAGAAGAATTAACCACTACCAGAATCCACTCAGACAACATTCCTCGGGCCACTTTAACTAGCCAGGAGGGGCATGGATCTAAAAATCAGGTGGCTGCAGTCAGTCCTAAGAATCCTGTCCATTTCTTCAGGTCCAACAGGTTCAAACCAGATAATCAAGCAAGAATTTTCCCTAAGCATCTCCTCCATATCTGCAACAAAGCCAATGTCCAACTGGGAACGAATCTGAGTGACGTTATCTGACAGATGTTATGCAAATTCTTCTGCATGTCCCTGTAAGAGGATCTCCATGTCCCAATGTCAACCTCTGCCTGAAATCCCCACCAAGAAACATAATGGAGTCGAAAAGTCCTCTAATGTTGTCTTTAATGGGTTGAATCATAGCGGCAAGTTAGAAAGCAAAAGCTAGTTCTAACGAAAAGGTGGGAAGCGGTTAATTAAATGAATCATTCTCCTCCTCCTCTCTCCTCTGACCGGATAGGTCACAATGTCCAATCAAAACACAACTGTTTGTTATGAGAAGCATTCTTTGTTTGCCAAAACAGAATTTTCACTTCTCTGCTCTCTCAGGATGATAAGCCACCTGTGGATTCCACTCTGTTTCTCCATCCTCCCTCTCCGCTCTGTAGGCAAGCTAAAGGCATGCGGTGGTCTTAAAGGTAGCCAAGTTCTTAGCTTGCCACCTTACCCAGAGGGCCTATGTCACCTATTACAGGACTGTGAATACATTAAGGATGAAATACTGGTGTTTCATCGCCCTCGCTGCCACAAGGTAGGCCTTAACAGCAGCTCTAACTTGCACTTGGTTGAGTTCGTTGAGCACCAATGGCCCTCAAGAGGTCTCTTCTCCCATTTCATCTCCCTCCTCTGTAAGCCACAGGGGATGACAGGATAGCCAATCTAAGGTCTCAGCTACCCCATTATTCCAAGCGGCAACCAAGGTCTCAGATGGGCCATACAAAATGGATAACCCCCAACTCCTTCTGAAGTGGCTCTGGTTCTATCAGATGCTGGGGGTAGATTACAGATAGTCCTCGAGTTAGAACAGTTCACTTAGTGACCATTTGAAGTTACAACAACACTGAAAAAAGTGACTTATGACAAATTTTCACACGACCGTTGCAGCATCCCCACGGTCTTGTTATCAAAATTCAGATGCTTGGCAACTGACTCACATTTATGATGGTTGCAGTGTCCTGGAGTCATTTGATCCCCTTTTACAACCTTCTGACAAGCAAAGTCACTGGGGAAACCAGATTCACTTAACAACCTTGTTACTAATTTAACAACTACAGTAATTCACTTAACATATGTGGCAAGAAAAATCATAAAATGGGGCAAAACTTATTTAACACATTTTTCAGTTAGCAACATAAATTTTGGGCTGAATTGTGGTCGTAAGTTGAGGACTACCTGTAAACTAATGATCCAACCTCTGTGCAATACGAGGTGACACAAGAGAAACCCATGGAAATCAAGGAGAGAATTGACCATGACAAAAGGAACACCAAAAGCTCCCCCAGATTCACTGCACGCCAGATGTCCCAAGAACATTTCAGGGCTAGAAAAGTTCTACAATCAAAAGTGGAGGGGAAATTTTTAGAAGAAAGATTACAGAGGCTCTTAATTGCCACAAGCAATATTTGGAATGTATTATTTCTGCCAAAGGAGATGTTGCAAAATATTGTCTGAAAGGAGGTTCAAAAGTATGTGCCATTGTTATTTATGTCTTATATTAAATTTGTGAACAACTGCACATAAATACTAAGGATGCATTTAAATTTGTACAAATATATTGTGTTTGATCTTATACCATGAAGAGGTTGTATCACCTACTGTTTATATATAGATTCAATGTAAAACACAATTTGATTAAGGATGGCAAACTTTTGCATACAATTGTGTGATTTAATTTGAAGCTATATAATTTCAGTGATTTTTGTTAGTAGTTCTGTACAGCACAGCCTTTCCTCTCTTAGATGTATAATTTTGCAAGAGACTGCTTGATTCAAGTTCATACTTTGTAATCACTAATAGATTGATTCTCACAATTTAGATATGTCTTCACTAAAGTAGTAGAATTCAGTTCTGCATAATTTAAAAAAAGTAAACTATGAATTCTATATATTTTACACAAATACATAAGTTATTCTGCCATAGCTCATATACTGCTTTTCTATCACATTAATACCAGTTTCACATTTTACAGTAATGTATATCTGAGGGACCCCTACCTGATGAAGGCTACTTCTGTTTTTATCTTTGTTTTTATAGATTGTGAGCTGCCTAGAAGCATTATGTGAGATAAGCATCCATGTAAGTCCTATAAATAAGTAACTAACTTTTTGGCTTAGTCAATAACAAGTAGGGTAAATAAGTAAAGCATAGTTCATTTTAAGGTAGTATATTACAATTGAAATTACAGATACCACTAACTTACTGAATGCAATGCATACACAAGTGGCAAAAGGCAGGAGTTGTTGTTTATTGTTTTGTTCCTGATTTCTTTAAGAACCATAACAAAAATACTAATTAAGCCAAAGAGGAAGATTCCCAAAATTCTCTTGTATAGATAAGAGTTACTGAGTATAAGATTATATGACTAGGTTTTTTTCTTTTATATATTCAAAAATTAGATTTATTTAGTTTCAATAGTCTCCTGTATATTACATTGGAACAGGTGGATGAAACTTTTTCAAAATTATTTTCTTTGCATTTAGCTTCGCATTTGGGATAAAAGGTTACTCTAAACAAACTTCCTTGGAACATAGGCTGAGATGTATATCTACATAATTGTGACCAAAAGCTGTATTCTTTGCAACTTCTCATTTCCAGAGACAATATTAATTTCTAAGTAAGTTTGCAGAATGACATGTGATACTAATTTACTTCAGTGAAACAACTGTTTTTGTATATTGCATTAAGTAATATTATGACAGTTATTAGACAGGAAGCAAGGCAAACCAGAAATAAGGGAAAGTAAAGAAAAAGACCACAAAACTAAAAATACATTGATTTGTTTCTAACAGAAAAGACTAAGGATCAAGTTTAAATGACAAAGCATAAATGCCAAAGACACTGTAAAGAGGTTAAGATGAATTTATGGGAAAATTTGTAAAAAAAAATTACAGATTTTCTATATTTGGTTTTATTTTGATCTTGCCATGTTTATAACTATTTTTTTTAGAAAACCCTATCTCCAGAATTAAAAGAAGAACTTTTACTAATTATCATTTGAAATACTTAATATCAATTAACATTTGGATTAATCCTGGTTCATTATTTAGAGTAGGGGTGTCAAACTCACGTCACGTGACGTGTCATGACATAGCGCGACTTTTTTTTGCCATTGCCGGCAATGCGGTGGGCACGGTTTCGCTATAACGCATCCGGCCCGTGGGCTGGCAGTTTGACACCCCTGATTTAGAGTCAAACACTACAACATATTTTAACAAAGATTATCTGCATTTCAAAGCTACAGTAACACAGTGATCTTTTCTTACATTTAAAAAGTATCCTAATTTTAGTTCTAACAAATGTATCCTTCATATCAGGATACATAATATGGTTCCAGAATAGAATGTGAAAGGATGTGTTGGATGTTACAGTATATTAGAAATTACTAGGTCATAATTCCTGCAACAGTAATAGTATGTTACTTTAAAAAAAAGTCTTTCCATTTTAGGAAATATGGATGAAATCACAGAACAGTTTCTCTTCCCTAATGTCCTTCAAATACTGTCATTTCATTTTTTATTGCACATTTATCTTTTAGACTCTTGCAGCAGTCATTTTTAAATTGTAAACAAGTTTTTATTTCAAGCTGTACATGTAAGGAATACATAGAACCAGAGTAATTTTATAATACTTTTATGCCTTTTACCTCGGCATCCTGAACATTGGATGAAGAAGTTGATTAAATCCAGTAGTGCTATATCCCTGTCTTGCTTATACAATTCAATCCAGTCATCTACCACGGACTGTCAATAAAAGAGAAAGAACAGTCAAATATTCAAGACAGAATTCAATGCTTCATCATACTACATATAAATAACACTCAATTTTCATCACATCCTGTGATTTATGAAATTAATATATCATAGACTAACAGCCAAGAGTAAAACAGGAGTCTATTACCACAATTTCTGAAAAATCCTGCCTGAATAGGAAAATAAATGCCATAAAATAATACCTTCAATGCCTTCTGTAGCAATGTGTTTCAGAAAGAGGACAATTAACTGAGGTGAATGGTTCTTTTAAAAATCAGTGCGCAGACAGTCCTTGATTTACAATCATTTGTTCAGTGATCGTTTGAAATTATAGCACTAAACAAAGGGACTTATGACCTATCCCTCAAGTTACAGCTGTTGCAGCGCCCCTGCAGATATATGATCAAAATTTGGATGCTTGGAAACCTGCCCACACTTATGACTGCTGCATACTCTCCCGTCTGGCTATCTTCCTTGCCTATTTGTGCCTTTTTGGGCCCTGCCTTGCTGGGTGGCAAACAAACCTAAAACTTTACTCATGTGTTGCAGGAGAAGCTGGATCCTAAAAGGAGTCAGACAAATGGCAAAGGAGCAAAAGGGAGAAGCCAACCTACATTTTAGCCCCTTGCAACCTGAAGATGGGGAGACACTAGCATTGACCACGGAGGAAGCTTAGTGATCCATCCATTGATGGTGTTTGCAAAAGAATGAAGCCAGTTGGCAGTCGAGAGAGTGCAGGCCTCTCCTACCCGTAGTTCTTGCTAGGCTTTGGAAATGAAGGAAACCAAAAGGAAGAAAACTTTGCAAAGGCAATGAGGGCTTAGCCCATGTGTAGACATGGCAGAAGCTGAGTCCTAAGGGGACTCAGATAGGCAGCAAAAAGTTGAGCTCTCACTGTCTTTACCAAATATTTTTTTCAGCACTCCACACAAACAATCCTCTGAAGGATTTTCTTTGCTTCCTTCATCCCCCTCCTTTTAAAATTAAATCCCCAGGATATTCTTTTTCTCTATTCTTCAGCCTGCCAGTCACTCATCAAGATAAGTCACTTAACAGATTTTGTCACCCTCTTTCCAGGTGTGTATAGTAAATGTAACAAGTTAAATTTACTTAAGCAATCAAGGCTTCTCATGGCTTGTTTGGAAGCCTTAGAGCCTCTTCAGTACTGCATTGAAGCACTTGGTTCTAATCTAGCTGGGGTCTTCCCCCTGCTGGGCTGTTTTCTGCTTTGCAAAACCTTTTGCTGTTTGCCTGCCTCCTTTTCAGACCCAGCTGGGTGGGAGGCTTCCCAGGGTTCTCCCCCCAAGCACTTTGTATTCTGATTTAATTACCTGTGCAGTCACTTAACAACCACACCTGGGAAAGCCAGGATGCAGCTGTAGTGTCAAGTCAGGTCACGTGATAACTCGACTTACAATCATAATTTGGGATTCAACTCTGGTTGTAAGTCAAGGACTATCTGTACCTAAGCTACATTAGATTTTATGTGCCTTACAATTCAGGCAGTCCTCGACTTACAACCATTCATTCAGCAACAATTCATATTTAAGACAGTGCCTAAAATGGACTTCTGGCCCATACCTTAAGCCACTGCAGCACCCCCACACTCACATGATCAAAATTCAGGACCTTGGCAGCCCATCCACACTAATGACTACGGTGGCACTGCAACTCTCCCCACCCTCCTATGTCCCCTTCAATCCTCCAATCTATGCATGCCCCATTACTTCTCAATTAGTACACCTGTTCTCTCAAGACCTTAGAAAAACCAGAAGTTTCCGGTAGGAACTTGAGAATGGGACATGTAATTTGGACAAGGAATGGGGTACGCAGCTTAGAGAATGGTGCGAAGTGGCCTGGTGTAGGTAACAGCTGCCTTGTATACAGCCAGGTGCGCCTCTTGAGCAACAGAAGAAAAACTAAGCAACTGGGTGCAGCTGAGGCTTCCATGGGCAACTGTGGGATTGTGCTAATCTTCATACGGCTTGCAACGACCTCCCATGGCTTCTTTCATCTTCTTCCAGCACTTCATGCTCCTTACCTGGGGCTCCCTCTGCTTAACAGCACACACATCTCAGTTAACAATGGTAGCTGAGAGTGGAAGAATGGAGGTCACTAAGTGACACAGTGACAAAACATTTTGCTTTACAACTGCATCATTTAGAAATGAGTACCAGTTGTGGTCAAAGGTCAACAACTACCTATACTAGATTCTCCCTTGAATTAATCAAAGGCTTCAGATAATTGGCAATATCTTGTGGCTAGGTGTCAGTCCTTCCAGGTAGACCAGTGCTGGAGAGGCAAGGTGAGGATCGAAGGATGATATGTAGATGTGTGTGAGGCTATGAAGGAGGCATGGTGGGGCTCGAAAAGGGGAGGGGAAGATGTGTGAGGAAGTGTCCCAAGGTATAGGGAGAGTATGTGGGAGTGCCCAAGGGTGCAAGGGAGGTGTGGTAAGGCTCAGAGAGTGTGTGCAGAGGTGTGTGTGAGGGAGGCATGGCAAAGTTTATGGAGGGTGCATTGGTGGCAGGGGAGGAATGGTGAAGCTCAAGGAAGATGCATGAGGCATGACAAGGATCAGTGAGGTGATGCGCCAAAACTAAGAGCGGGTATACAGGGCTACATCAGTGGGGAGGACACAAGGAAAGGCTTAGGGAGGGTAGTGGTGGTGCACAAGTGGCTAGTGTGCAGAGGGGCTGGGCAGGGTGCACAGGTGAGGGAAACTTATACCAGAGATTTATAAGCTCCCTTGCCATCTTCCCCACTGAGTATCTGGGGAAGCCGGCAGGGAAGTTCACAAATGGCGTTCATGTGATGGGCACTGGAACCAACTTTAAATGCAAATCAGTTGCCAAGAAACCAGCTTACAATCACATGACTGCAAGGATACTGGGACGGCCAATGTTCAAAGGACCACCATTTGTTCAGTACCATCTTTATTTCAAAAATTCATGTTTTCATGTGTTTTATAGTTTTAATATGTCATTTTAACTTTTGATTGGGAGCTGGCCAGAGTTCATTAGAAGATGGGGGACTATATACATGTTTTAAATAAATAAGTAAGTAAGTAAGTTGCTGAATGAGCAGTCCTACATCAAAGACTACCCTATAAAGTAGCATTCTAGTATTGTATTTTCTATGATGTACTGACCTGGTCTAACTCAAAGAAGTAAACATTCTACTATTTCTATTTGGTGGGCCATCATACCTTGCCTTTAATTGTGAAAATGGCATCTGCTCTATGGAGCACTCACTTTACTGAAGTAAAGTAAAGTATTATTACAACATCAACAGCAAATGGATTTACAACTCTCAAATAAGAAATCTATCCAATGCTATGATACAACTAACACAACATTTAGTCCAAGGCCTGTTTCAGTCAGCAACCACCCTTCAAGTATTCAAGAAGAACACGAAATTCAGAGAAGTCCAGGATCAATTCCTGACTTTCACAAGTGGATTGACTAGCATGTGTGTTATAGATTACAGAAAGTTGACTTTTGTTTTGAATCCACTGGGGAAAAAAAGGGGTAGACAAATGGGCACTGCAATAACTGAAGGTAATCATTTATTACTGGACAATTTTCATGTATTTTTTTAAAAAGCTGTATTTGACAATTTAATCAAAATACCAATAGGAAATTGTCAGCAACTTTAACAACAAATCAAGATTTTTCCAACTTTAAACATGTTTAACCATAGAATTCCTTAATACATATTAGATTTTCAAGTATTTCTACTCCCACTGTTCATCATTTCCTGATCAACTCACTAAATCTCCTTGCTCACAGAAAATGTGCCAATTTTATTGATGTTTTGGGGGAGGAGAAGCAACCACATAGCCTCATTGGCTGTATAACTGTAAAATCAACTTGAAGCCAGGAGTCCAGACTCCAGTAAGAGACAATATCCATGTCCACTTGAAAATTCGGTACTTTGTAGGAATTTATGATGATAATTTTGAGGAACGGATTTATTTGCCCTTCTAAATCCCCAGCCTTTACACCCATATTGTTCATCACTAAGGGATAATTCTTTAAGGAATGTGTATGGCTATAGGTTCCTATAATGCAGTGGTTCTCAACCTTTTTAATGCCGCGACCCCCAACCGGTCGTTAAGTCGAGGACTAAACTGGTCGTAAGTCAAGGACTAAACCGGTCGTAAGTCGAGGGCTAAACCGGTCGTAAGTCGAGGACTACCCAACCGGTTGTAAGTCGAGGACTTTCCCTGCCCGGGAGCGCTGTGCATGCGTGGTTCCGCCCCCTGCGCCGGTCAAGGCGTAGCTGGCAAGCGGCAGAGACGGAGCAGGCCGACCACCAGCTGGCCCAGCTCAAGGGAGGTAAGGCACCCGCCGGAAAAGGGGAAAAAATGGCGGACAGCCTTGCTTGGCGACCCCCGTGAAATGGTCGATCGACCCCAAATGGGGTCGCGACCCATAGGTTGAAAACTGCTGCTATAATGTAACCATTAAAGATCATTCCCCAATGCCTTTCTTTTCAGATATGCTGGCTGGCTTCAGGAGGCACTCATTTTCAAAATTGGAGTTGCTTACAATTAAATCAGAATGAAAGAAGGCCATGCATATTTAATTTCATTTGATACCAAGATATGGCCATTTTTAATACAAAGTAATACCTTTTTGCTTAATTGTGGGAAGATCCTTTTCAGATTCAAGTATGAAATAGTTTCTGATATATGTAAATATTTGTGTACATACTGATCTTTTTCAGAAGGTCCATGTCAGCACTAGACTTGTCAAATATGTGTTACAGTGACTCTATGAACAGAATTTTTGCTAAGTTGGAAAAATGAGTTTATTTTGTCTCTTACTGGATTTCTACAGAAAGAATACAAATGGATTCCATAGAAAGCACCTATAAATCAAGGATGTCTAGCATTTCTGAGCTTCACAAATTCTTATAAAAAGCTCGTCCCTAATTTTCATCTCTACTGAAGTGCCCTTGTACAGGGCACAAGGATTTTTGTCTTGAAGAAAGAACACATGTTCAAATAGTCTAAGGAAGAGCCAGCATTGTTTCAGGAAATGAAAGTCCTTTTCTATTCACTGTTGTTTCTTAAACATAGGACCACTGCTATCCTTTTATGATGCAAACAGATGCCTCAGATTTTGCAATAGGAACTGTTCTCCTTGCAGCAAGAGAGATCTCCTGCTGTGTGTATTGTATTCCTAATTGCTTCTCCCAGCTGAACAGAATGAAGATAATAAAGAGTTGCTTGCAATAAAAAATGTGTTCTACCAGTGGCAGCACAGATCACAAGAATTTGGAAATTCTGCAAAAAACATAATCTTTGCAAAATACCTCATTAGATCAGGTGGGAACAATTGGTTTTCCATTTCAGTTTTTATATCATTTATATGCCTGCCTCACCAAATAAATTAGCAGATGCACTATAATATAAACTATCAATTTCCATACTTATCCCTCCCTATATAATCCTGCAGCCAAGCAACTGTGCACTCCCCAGAGTTACATTCTCCAAAAGACTTAAGGGCAGGGAGACAGGTTGTAGATCTGTTATATCAAATTAGAGTGCAAAGACCAGGATGCAAATGTCAAGGCTCAGATGGATGAACTTCAGTGAGATCACAGAGTCTTCATCTTTCTGTATAAATGATGAGTGGTTGTTCCATAATGAACATTTATCTGTTCCCCTTCCTTTAAGGGGAAAGGTATTGTATCTATGTAATGAAAGATGCTTCATGTTGTCATATATGTTGCCAGGTCAAGAATGTTCAGGGAAAACTGGTGGCTTGCTTCTCCAATTGTACCATGGGATTCTATTTCACTAGATTTTATCACCCATGTTTCCCATTTTCAGGGATTTACATCCATTTTGTGGTAGTGGATTTGTTTTACTAAATGGCTCATTTCATTCCATATAGACCTTCCTTTGCCATAGGTAACTGCAACTTTTTTTAAGATCATGCTTTCAGTTAAAAGTACTTTTACAGAAAGTGAATTAATTATGGTAAATTAATTAAGGGATAAAACCTACAAATCAGTCGTAGTTGGCTATTGAGTGGTCCATATTTTCTTGGAGTCAGAAAATAACGTACTTTTGAAAACATAAAAAGCTCAGTTGGACGACTCTGCAGATATAGTGATAAAGAATAACAACCTCTTGGCCACCATTAGCACTCCAGAGTAGGATTGCAAATAGGCTCACTTGACTGACTATATTGAGTCAGACCTATGCTGTCAAATTTGTTTCATTCATAATCTCACTCATTTCATCACACAAGCTTTTGGTAAAACAGGAGTGCTGGTTTCATTCTACTAAAACAAAAAATAAAATAATAGTAAGAAGCATTTCTGTCAACTATCCAGCCAATTTTTCCATGTAGGAACAAAACATATTCAATGAAATTACCAATCAAGATGACAAGAAAAAAAAATCAAAAGAATAAAAGCCATTTCGATCCTTTAGCAGATCACTTTGTTCAAGGTAACACACATATGCGTATGTGTATGCATGCACACACACAGGCATACAGATGCTGAGTTTTATCATACCATTCAAATTTTCATCTGACATTTATAGCTTGTTCATTTGTTGAATTTCTGTTGCATACAACTTAGCATTAAACTTGTAGGTTATAAAATACAGTTAACACAAGTTCCCACAGGCAGCAATGATTTTACCTGCATAGCACTTTTGCCCATCTTCACAACATCAAACAAAGTAATAGGATCCCCTTCTCCATTCTGCTGAGGATGGCCATTAGCTCTTCCTCGGCCTGTTCCTCTAATTCCAGTTTCAGAGCGAAACTTCTCTCCTGGAGTCTTTCGAGGCTTCTTATTGGCAGACTGGGAGACAGAAGATCAGGAGAGACAGCCTTGATACCCTTACATCATATTTAATATATTATGTTTTTATAAATGCTAGTTTTAAAGAACAGTAAAAAGTTCTGTTTCAAATCTCAACATGTAAGTCAACAGATTTCAATACAATTTTTAAACAGTAACACTAGTTTTATCTAAAGTGCAGAATTTTAGATAAAACTTGAACAAATTTTCAGTATGCTTTATTTCCTAAAATATAATAGTTTTTTTTTAAAAAGAAAAAAGCATTGAACAAAATGGTGTAATCCAAAATTTAACATAGGCACTAAACTAATAATACAGAGGTATAACATTTTGTATGGGGGGGGGGAGAATAACAGTTTACAAGATTTACTTAATGTTTAAACGGCTCTAATGGTGGCGCATGCGCGTGCACACACACACACACACACACACACACACACACACACATACCGCAACTCCAACATTCTTGGAGGAAGAAAATCTTATAGGCATGCCTAGTCCAAGTGAGCAAGAAGGTAAAATTAGTTCTAAGCGCTATAAATCAGCTGCTAAGTCATATCCAGAACAGCAAATCACACTAACAAATGGATAGCAAGTAGGCAACTATAAAGGTAAAACTGCATGTGGGGTTCTGAAAAAAAAAATGAAATAATTTTACCTATCAACTTCTCCTTGTTCTCAAAACCAAAAATGTTGATTTAGCTCAGTGGTTCTCAACCTTTTTAATGCCGCAACCCCAACCGATCGTAAGTCGAGGACTAAACCGGTCGTAAGTCGAGGACTAAACCGGTCGTAAGTCGAGGACTAAACCGGTCATAAGTCGAGGACTACCCAACCGGTCATAGGTTGAGGACTTTCCCTGCCCGGGAGTGCCGCGCATGCGTGGTTCCGCCCCCTGCGCCGGCCGAGGCGTAGCTGGCAAGCGGCAGAGACGGAGCAGGCCGACCACCAGCTGGCCCAGCCCAAGGGAGGTAAGGCACCCGCCGGAAAAGGGGAAAAAAAAGGCGGACAAAAAAAATGGCGGACAAAAAATGGTGGACAGCCTTGCTTGGCGACCCCCATGAAATAGTCGAGCGACCCCAAATGGGGTCCCGACCCACAGGTTGAGAACCACTGATTTAGCTTAAGATCAGTCCGATTTGGCAGGTTAAGTAGAGATGTGTAATATTCTGATGCCAAGTGGGAAATTTCCAGGTAAAGTGACAGAGATGAAACCATGATTCACCTTGCTTACAAATAACCCAAACATGCCTAAATATATATGGATGTGATATTGTAACTGTGAATAGTTAAGTGATGGTTTGTGTAATAAACACACTTTTCATTGTAATGCTCTATGGGAGCCATCTTCTTAAATCAACTTGTTTTGAAGAATTGCCCCCAACCAAAATCTTATAAATACTGAGAGAGCATTATTGTATCTGGATCTGAGATACAACTTTACAATATTTATTTCCATTTTAATGTATTTTTAACAGGGAATGTTACTTTACTTAGTAAATGATGACTATAATAGAGATTGAGAGAAAACAAAGCAGAAAGTACTGGGAAAATGGAAAAATTAAAGATACTGAGAGAAGTTTGAAAGAACTGATTCATCTGTGCACTCGATGTGAGCCATTGAGAACATGGTGTCGCCAAACAGTGATCAATTCAGAAGTGAATTACATGCAAATTGCAAGAGCAGTTAGGGAAAGTCAGGAAAATGGGTCATCACCACCATTACACATTCAAATGGCAATGGAAAGCTAACATAGCTAGCTGGAATTGCTGCTAAATTTCAAGACTTTGGCCATCTAGTTATGGCTGAAATTTATGAGAAGGTAGGAATTTGTTGAATGAGACAAAGCAGAGAGTATGATATGCTGCTTGAGAAAAACCTATTATTGTCTACTTCCTGTTATACCAGAAGTCATTATTAAGAAACTGTGGAGGAACAGATGAGCCAAAGATGATTGTATTAAATTGAGAACCAGTTTGGTCTAGTAGTAAAGGTGCTAGGCTAGAAAGCGGGAGACTGTGAGTTCAAGTCCTGCTTTCTAGCTAAGTGACTTTGGGCTTGTTGTTCTCTTTCAGCCCACCTCATATGCTTGTTGCTGTGAGGAATAAAGGCAGCAGTTTCCAGATACTTCTCAAAGTATCTCAAGTAGTCCAAATGGCAGATAACCAAGACATAAGTGACCGAGAAAGGATTCCCAAACTAGGTAAGGGTACAACTTGCATACAAAGTTCAGCAAAGGAGTCATGTATATTTGCCAGTAGGGACATCAGCACAGAGTTGAAACTATCTTCTCTTAGGCTGCCATGGAATGCTTTGGTAAACTTACCTCATCCTGGAATCTGACTTCAACAACCAATACAGCAGCCCCCTTTTCACCTTCTCTTTCTACAGAAGAAATCTGGATTCCTTGGCTCAGGGGTCCCCAACCCCCATTCTGTGGACCAGTACTGGTCTGCATAAACAAGCAAAGCCCCATCCATGGGATGGAGGCAGCACACAAAATCATGCACCCTCCGGTCCGTGGAAAAACCTCTCTCCATGGAACTGGTCCCTGGTGCCAAAAGGTTGGTGATCTCTGCCTTAGCTTCTTTTTGTAAAGCCAATTCACACTCTGCAGAAATGTTCTATTTGGAAATAGTAAGGGGGGGGCTTACTCCAACTTTGGCTGATGTAGTACTTATGATCCTCCTAAGACTGAGTCTGATAACAGTAACTTACACCTTAGTCACTCTGTCAGAGGTCCCAACCACAGACCTATGCCCAACAGAAAACAGGACGTTGGGATCAGAGGAAATCAGGTTTATTCGGGTACATTCTGGCGTGCGAGCTCAAAGCAGTTGCAAACAAAGTCAGCTCTGGGAGCAACCGCCTCCCAGCGTGCTAAATAGATGGATCCCGCCCAGGCCCGCCCCCACCCACCTAACCAGCATCTGGAACGATGATCGTGAGCACCCAGCTCACAGAAGCCGGCCCCTGCCCCCAGCGGTCAGCCTGTCGTGGGCTCTGGTCGGTGGCAGCAAGGCAGCAAAGCAAGCGAGAGCTGATTTCAAAGTCCCTGCCATTTAGCTGTTCAGCAGAGTGCCGAACAGCTGAGCCGGCAAAACCCAGAAGTCCACGACAGCCAGCCAGCCGGCTCGACGATCGCTGTGCTTCCCCCCGGTCAACAGGCAGGTACAGGGGGGAGGGCTGTCACCACCGCTGCCTCCAGCTGTCACCACCAGCCTCCGCCATAGCTCCGGATGCACCCGTGCCCATCCCCCCTCCCGGTTAGTGGCAAGCCTGCGGGGCTTGACACACTATACAATTGGCCTACTGCGAGGCTGCTTTTGCAGATGACATGGAAGTTCAACTAGTCCAGAATGTGGCAGCCAGGTACTGGTGGGGCAACTCTTACCACCGTAGAATAAGATTTATTTTAAAGTATTTGCACTGGATGCTGGGGTGCTTTGGGCCAATTTCAATGTGCTAGCTATGGCATGAAAGCACTTTATAGAATTATGCTTTCATCTTTCATATTCTGTGTACAAATGTAGATTTGTTTTTATGAAAAATTAAATATAACTCTAAGACAGTGGTGGTGAACCTATGGCACGTGTGCCAGAGGCGGCACTCAGAGCCCTCTCTGTGGGCACGCGTGCCATGCCCCGGAGATGGCAACCGTCCCTCTTCAACCAGCTGCCCGCTAACTCGCCGAGGTCCCACGTGGCTGGATGCATCCCAGCACCCATGCACTTTCCCTGGCCTCTATGTGCAGGGGCCGATGGTGTCAGGGAACAGCCGCCCCAGCCCCTGCCTCACCTTGCCCTGTGATAATGGCACCCACGCCTTGCCTTGCCTCGCCTCTCCCCGCAGGACAAGCCTTCTTCCCACCGCCCCACCTGCCAGAGACCCCTTGGATCTCCCCCAACCCTGCCCGGCTCCCACAGGCGTCCCTCCCCGCGAGCAACATTGAGGTGATCACGCCCACCTTGGCCACACCCACCCAATCTGTCATGACCACCACAGCCACGCCCACCTGGCACCCGGCGATAAATAAATGGGTTTTGGGTTGCAGTTTGGGCACTCGGTCTCTAAAAGGTTCGCCATCACTGCTCTAAGATGTTCTCATGGGAAAATATCATGGCAGTTGAAGTAATAAACTACTCCAAATCAAGCACTGCCTGGTCAAAATTGAATCTGAAAACCTGTTTAGAATTCTTCCCAAAAGAAGCATACTAGTGTAGTTAAGGGACTAAGCCTTTTCTACAGTAGCTAACATGCTCTCTAGAGCACATTATCTCAAAGGTTACATTAAGCCCTCTCCTTCTTTATATTTCATAAAACAGTATAAACAATATCATTTCATAATTTCTTCTGTCCTGACTGTATTTGTTCATGTTGGATATGTATCAAAGTTATCATTTTTATTTTTTTTAATTTTGTGTTTTGTTCATGCTTTGATCTCCAACCAATCTTAATTAAAGAGGTTTACAAATACTGTAAATGAATGAATAAATTACTAAATCAATTAGATTCCACATTATTCTGGCTCTCTGTTTTATTCAATAAAACCCACCTAAAGCAAGAGAAACTTTCTGCTATCCATTTTTTTTAAAAAGTCTATGCATGTATTATAAAATTTATAGTATACCATAGAAAATCAATCACAAGTTCCATCAAGTTCCTTCTTGAACATTTGCCAGTTGTTCCTTTATCTTCTGGGATTTCTTTTTGAGACTTACAATTAACACCTAAGTCTTACAATGCAGATAGCCACAAATACAGTATAACCTTGGAAAAACTATTCAGAGATGACATCAAAACTACAACAAAAACAAGCAGCACAAATGGATTCTGGATTGCAACTGTATCTTTTAATTTGCTATCAGTTTGAAGATTTGTTAATGTTCTTGATGAGATTTCTTCAAATAGCTTTTTTGTGCTTTTCATGTGATAATGTAAGTATCTTTATGGGCCATGAGTTTGTTTGGCCTCCCATTCTTCCCAATCTTTTTGAAAA